GTATCAAAAGCCGCTGAGAGGTCCAAAAGAACTAGGACAGAGGAATAACCCCTGTCCCGGGCCCTCCAGAGATCATTCACCAATGTGACCAATGCCGTTTCCGTGCTGTACCCTGGCCTGAAGCCCGACTGGAGCGGGTCTAGATAGACTGTTTCCTCCAGGCGCCGGGGGAATTGCTGCGCAACCACACTCTCAACAATCTTCGCCACAAAGCGAAGGTTGGAGACCGGGCGATAGTTAGCCAATGCATCTGGGTCCAGGGAAGGCTTCTTAAGAAGGGGCCTCACCACCGCCTCCTTCAGGGCTGCAGGGAAGACACCCTCCCGTAGAGAAGCGTTTATATTCCCTGGAGCCAGGCTCGTGTACCCTCCCGGGCAGCCAGTACCAGCCAGGAGGGACACGGATCCAGTAAACATGTGGTTGCATTCAGCCTCCCCAGGATCCTGTCCACGTCCTCGGGAGCCACAGAGTCAAACTCCTCCCATGTAATAGTCTCAAGACCTGCTCCTGTCTCCTCCCCCGGGGCCACCCAGTCAGAGTCCAAGCCTTCTCGGATCCGAGCGACTTTGTCATGCAGATATTGAGCAAAGTCCTCAGCCCTCCCCTCCAGGGGATCCTCCCCCCCCCTCAGCTGAAGGAGAGAGCGGGTCACCCTTAAGAGGGTGGCTGGGCGATTATCAGATGACGCAATGAGGGTGGAGTAGTAATTAGACCTCGCCACCCTCATCGCCACTAGGTAGCTACTTACATACAATAGATGGGATTGTGTTGAGATCCAATTGTAATTCAGTACATTTAGGGAAGGTAAGGACATTCACATTGTGCCAGCATGAAAGGAAACTTTAAGTCTTGGTCTACTTAAATTTGCATCTGAAATTAAAGACAGATAGCTCTTTGCCATTCAGCTGTGAATGGCACATTCTTGGAGTGGGCCTGCTCTGTAAGACTGGAATTTAGTTACTCTGCTAGTGATCTGCCCGTTTCAGCTGATCTTTTATAGTTCCTGTGTAAGATCTCAAATAATACTTGGGGATCTGGCATGCATGGCAAAAGGTGTACAGAATTTTTGTCACTTAAACAATATAATTATTAATATACCTGAGTAAATTCTGATTGCCACTGGATTCTCTCCTCATTAATCAAAAAGGCTTTCCCTAGAGAATTGTGTGGGCGCATTTCTCCAATGTGAATTCTGACATAAGAATTATTTGGGAAAGTGATCAAGTTCACAATGTCAAATCCAGCCTCTAATTTCCCCTGCTCATTCAAACTAATTTCATCTCCAGCGGTGTTGTTGAAGGTAATTCTCTGCAGAAATGAGTGGAGCTTCAAAAAAATATGAATAAGAGAAAGGTTTGAAATATTCATGCTATGTTCTTTCAAGTGGTGAACATGGATGGCCTTGGGAACATTACCCATTCAGAAACCATATTTAAAGAATGGAACTATTTTTATTTTATAAAAGTTTCAGGACCAGCAGTGCTCAACTACCAATCAGTGACAGAACCAACCATCTCCTCGCTGGTTGAATGTTGTACTTCACAAACAACCAGTCATGTGACCAACTGATCACAACACCACACAGGACCTATATAAACAGAGAAGAAACCAAATGAGACACTTCACCCCAAACTGCGCTGAAGATATTACCTAGTTTGGTAACAAAACATCCAGGAGCTAAACAGCAAGCTCAAAGAACAAACCTCTTGTCAAAATTTTATTTTATTTTGTATTTTAAAAAAGCATGGGTTTCCCTATACAATATGATTCACTAATTTTAATATTTTATATTTATGATTTTATTGTATTGTAAGCCACCCAGAGTTGCTTTGGGTAGTGAGATGGGCAGCACATATGTTTAATGAAAAAATAAATAAACTTGACGAATATCAGAATGATGGGTAATGGAGATCCCTCAGTTGTACAGGTAGTCCTAGTTCATTTAGTGACTATTCAAAGTTACAATGATACTATAAAAAGTGACTTATGAACATTTTTCGCATGGTCATCAGATCAAAACTCAGATGTCTGGCAACTGGATCATATTTATGTTGGTTGCAGTGTACTAATGTTATGTAATCACTTTTTGCAACTTTCTGACAAGCAAAGTCAATGGGAAGCTGGATTTGACAAAGTAGAACACAACCTACTTCTTGGTAAGCTAGAAAAATGTGGAATAGACAGCATCACCACCAGATGGATTTGTAAATGGCTGACAAACCATATTCAATGAGTAATCCTTAATGGTACTACATCTACGTGGAGGGAAGTAAGCAATGGGGTACCACAAGGTTCCATCTTAGGCCCAGTACTCTTCAATATCTTCATAAATGACTTAGATGAGGGAATAGAAGGGCAACTCATCAAATTTGCAGATGACACTAAGCTGGCAGGAATAGCCAACTCCCCAGAAGACAAGCTCAGGATCTAAAAACATCTTGACAGACTTGAACAATGGGTCCTATCCAATCACATGAAATTTAATGTGGAGGAAAGCAAAGGTTTACACTCAGGCAGGAAAAACCAAAGGTACAAGTACAGATTAGGCAACACCTGGCTCAAAAACAGTAACTGTGAGAGGGACCTTGGATGCCCTAGTGGATATGCGTTAGTAGTATGCGGCAGCAGCCAAAAAAGCTAATACAATCCTTGGTTGTATATACATAGACATAGAATCAAACTCACGTGAAGTATTAGTACCACTTTATAAACACTTAGTAAAACCATGCCTGGAATATTGCATCGAGTTTTGGTCACCACGTTACAAAAAAAGATGTTGAGACTCTGGGAAAAGTACAAAGAAGAGCAACTAAGATGAGTAAAGGCCTGGAGACTTAAACATATGAATGATTGCAGGATTTGGGTTTGGCTAATCTAAAGAAAAGATGGACTAGGGGTGACATGAGAGCAATATTCCAGTATTTGAGATGTTGCCACAAAGAGGAGGGGGTCAACTTATTTTCCAAAGCACCAGAAGGCAAGACAAAAAACAATGGATGGAAACTAATCAAGGAGAGCAGCAACCTGGAATTAAGGAGAAGCTTCCTAACAGCGAGGACAATTAACCAGTGGAACAGCTTGCCTTCAGAAGTTGTGGGTGCTTCATCAATGGAGTCTTCAATCACTTTTCTGAAATGGTATAGGGCAGACATGTCAAACACAAGGCTTGTGGGCCAGATCTGGCTTATGATGTGGTTAGATATGGCTTGCAGGGCCGCCTTGGAAAAAATGAAGGACCGGCCTGCAGTGCCTTGGCCTGACCCAGGCTGACCAGGCACTGATCTGCAACCAGGTGATGGCCATCTGGGCCAGCACTTCCCTTTCACCCAGGACACCAGCCCTCACATGCTCGCCACCTTCTGTGCGCAGACCCGGGGGCAGGGCTGAGGTGGCGTAGCGGCTCCTTGCTGGCTCCAGGGTGGCACTGCAGATCTAAGGCTGACTGTGTTTCAGCCAGATGGCCGTACCAAGTTTTAGATCAGCGCCTGCACCAGTGCTTCCATGTCCCACCTACCGGCCTGGCCTCCCAGCCCACAAGGCTTCCCTTTTACTGGGACCACCTCACCCCCACATGGGAAAGCCATGGCTTGTGGTGACAGGGCCACCGGCAGTGCTGCCAATCTCTCCCCTACCCATCATCCCTTCCTGAGCATGGAGGAAGGAAGGAGATGGGGGAGAGCAGATGGAATGGGACCTTTAGGCCATAGTGCTTCTGCCTGACAGCGTGTGATGGGTGATAGGTGATCGCAGGGGCTGTGGGGGTGGGAGGCGGCAGGGAATGGCTTCTGGCATTGGGGGGAGGGGGTTGTGGAAGCAGAACTGCCCTTTTGGCAGGTGTAGAGGCACTCCAGGCATGGAGGCAATGGAGGGGAGGGTGGACAAAAAGCTGCCAGAGGCTCCAGGCAGAGGCTTCCGTTTGTTCCGAACTTAACAACTTCAGTGATTCGCTTAACAAGTATGGCAAGAAAGGTCATAAAATGGGGCAAAGTTCACTTAACAAATGTCTCGCTTAGCAACAGAAATGTTGGGCTAAGTTGTGATTATAAGTCAAGGACTACCTGTATTCTAGCCAATTTAAAAAAAATTGAGGAAGCTTACCTGCCAAGATTCCACTTTTTTTACTTTTCTGGCACAACTCTCCCTTACTTGATGGGTGGATCGCGATGTGAAAGCTTTGTGCAAGCTATGTGCCAGAGCAGAAACTGCATTGTAGATGCTGTAACTGTGGCCAGTCATGCTCATTTCAAAGAAAGGTGCAAGAAGACTCTCCAGGTGTTCTTCTCCATGACAGGTGCCATTTGTACAATCAAAAGCTTGTTCCCAAAAACTGGAAATAAAGCCATCTCTTTTCCTATTAGGAAGGCTGATTTTCTGAAGAAAATTCTGAAATTCTGGTGGCTGTTTTATATGAAACATGAAGGCAAGAGCTCCATGAAAGATTAGCATCGGAAATGACTTTTGCATGAGATGTAAAGTGAAGTCATTTTGAGCAGTTGTAATCCACACCTTTGAGGTAGACAAAGTCCCAGTGTAAGTTGGATCAGTTAGAAGATAAACTCCTAGTAGCAATGCTGAAGCCAACCACATCACAGTTATGTTTTCACCATATACAATAATTGCCTGGGCTTTTTTCTCTTTAAAAATGCTGAGATGACTCACTGCCTCATCGATTACACCAGAAATGCTACCGAAATGCTGATTTTTGTCAAATCTTGCTGTGAATTCAGAGCAGATCTTATTTTTCAAAAGCAGGGGTTCCAAAATCTGCAAAAAATGTTCTCCATCTAGGTTATTCACTATGATGAGCCCTACCCATTTCCACTTGAAATGCAGAAGGAGCTGGATTAAACCCTCATATTGAAGAGCTTCATTAGGGACCATACGATAAAAAGATGGAGAATGTGATTCAGCAGGAATTTCTAATTCAAACAAGCCATATGAAATCTAGAGGAAGGAAACAGAAGGAAGGAAATAGAAAACCAAACATAGTAAGTAAAAATCTGAGAAACAACAAAGCGAGAAAGAAAAACTTATTTTTACAGAATTGTGTTTCTTTTTAAAAAAATTCCAATTCAAATGATTTACTTCCAAATGGAACTGGAAGAAATATTTAAAGCATTCATTTGAGTTTTTGCAGAATGTACTTCTTTTCCTTAAGATATAGACTGTATGGATCATATTTATTTACATATTTACAATGTATATCATTGTGGATGTCTGTAATAAATATTAGTAGATATCTATTTATCATCTTAATTATTTAAAGCAGCTAATAGACTTGTAAATATCTCATGATCTCTAAACCATCAAGTTAATAACTTCAAAGGAAGACAAGAAAGAGTTATCTGTAATAAGTTCCTGAATCTATAGTTTTAGCTTCTACCTGTGGAATCTTGAAGAGCTGAAAAATTTCTGCCATACGTGAGGAAGTATCAGAACTTAATCCTCCAATAATTCCTATGAGATTTTGGGTTGCCCCACATAGGTAGTTGGGAACAAACTCATGTACTTTGAAGAGCAGATCCAGGCTGGTACGATAGGTCATCTTTGAATCAGAGTAGCTATCATAGATTTGGAATCCAAGGGTGATGTTAGGCAAGATTTGGGGGTCCTGATTGATCTCTTTTATGGCGAACTCCAAAGACAAAACATGTTGGTAGAATTTTGTCACCACACTGCAAATAAAGTGATTTGGGTGAAGAAAGAACCTCTTGTAACTTTTCAACAGTGCAAATAAATAGAATGTCACAAAATGTTAAAAAAAGAAAAGAAATTGAAGCGAAGGGGAAAGAAGAACTGTTGACAGATAGAGAGAAGAGAAAACAGAATGAAAAATAAAGGAAAAAGAAGCTGAAGAATACAGGTGAAACTCGAAAAATTAGAATATCGTGCAAAAGTTCATTTATTTCAGTAATGCAACTTAAAAGGTGAACCTAATATATGAGATAGACTCATTACATGCAAAGCAAGATAGTTCAAGCCGTGATGTGTCATAACTGTGATGATTATGGCTTACAGCTCATGAAAACCCCAAATCCACAATCTCAGAAAATT